TAGAAGCAATGTACGTGTCTCTGCGATTGTCCATGCGATACTCGTACTACTCGTTCGGGATCTTCTTAAATATGTCATCGTGACACCGCGGTGTATTCGCGCTGCTCGTGGGCCCTGACGGGCCCTCGCGGTTATATTGACAGCGACACTGCACTGTCAGACACAGACTACGACTGAACAGCCGAGCGACGACTGACTCCTCCGCTCGCGAGCCACCAGCAACGTTGCCATATCACTACCGAGTCTCGATCGGGCAAGTTTTCAGCCACCGACGGACAGGTACGACGGTCACTGCGTTCTTGGAGCTGGCGCGCGACCGACTGTTCCATTCGATTCCTTATCCTCTTCTTGCTCGTTAATCGTGCCCCGACACCGTATTTTTCCTCTTTGCCACCTTTTCCTAAGTACGTCGATGCTCTCTACCACGGGTCTCCGCAACGACTTGTCACCGGACTCGAAGCCTCTACGTACGCATCTTTTTCAACCCTCGTCACGCGGCGAGGGTCACGCTCGTGAACTGGTCGTTGTCGCTGCTATCGACTGCGGATTCGGTCGGTGCATTGAAATCCACGGCACTCCGAGATCCGGACGAGCACACAGCACCGAGCTAACTGGCCACATCTGCTGCCGATTCGCTAGGAGTGCTCTGCGAACTACAGTGCGGCCGGCCAGTCTGTCTGCCAGTCAGTATGCTCCCTCGCTTTCTTGCTCTTGTCTACCAGTCTACCAGCCTTCTCGAATCGGCCGAGCCTACCTCCAGAGATGCCAGTTCGAGGACACCAACCATAGAGAATTTCCCCCTCTATATGTACATACTAATGCGCGAGTCGCGTGTACACGAGCTCCGCGCTTCGGTCAACTTCGGCAAGTCGAGAAAGAAGGCTAAAGCGAACATTTCCTTCTCATTCTCGGCACAGCTGAAGTTCGAATTGCCGGCAAACGGAATACAATCTTCGTTGATGGTCGTTTACTTTTATAGATAGAATATGCCAACAATGCTAACATTTGCCATCCGAACGTTTTTGGCGATTTGAACGCATGTCGGTATGTTACCGCCTAGATATTTTTTATTTTGTATTTTAGTTTCGCGACAGTTCCTACTTTACCATCAACTTTTAAACAATATATACATTTAGAGAGCCTTTCAGGGTGTACTTCTAACTAATCTCGATGGATAATCTAATAAGGATGAAAAGGTCTGAGATATCGAGGAAGAAGATAACATAAGATTTTTCATCCTTTTGTTACAACAATAAAAGATTGATAAGCGAAATACTCAACGATAAAAGTAAAATAAAATTCAGTTGCGTCGAAAACGAGAAGGAGGAACTTGTATTCGTCTTCTCTCTCGTTTTCCCGAAGTTACCCGAAGTGCTAAGCTTGCGTATACGCGGCTTGTGCATCAGTATGTGTACGTGGAAGGGGAAATTCTCTATGACTAGCGCCCTCGATCTGGCATCTCTACCTTTCGTGTATTCTCCTTACCCCCCTCCGAGCTGCACCGCTTTCCATCCTCTTTCCTCGTGCCCTTCCCTCGGTGTTTCTCTAATGTTCTCACTCACTCACTCATTCGTTCCCTTCTTGTTCTACCGGAGGTTTCTCTTTCGCACCTATCGCCTTCCTATCCCCTTCTTGGTCTAACCGCCGTCTCTCGCTCTGTCGAATGAATGGTTTAGTTCGGGAGGGCGTCCGTGCCGGAAACAACCGATCACATCCGGAAATCACCGAGCTCTGACTTCCCGTATTAGAGCGTTTCTTGAATAAAATTCCATTCTTTCCTTCCTTTCTTCCTTCGCCGGGTAGCTATCACGTCGAATGTTCGTAAGTAAATGAGTAGAGACTTTTGCAAAACCCTGTGCCACGAATTTCGTTTCAGAGACATTAACCGCGCTTCGTACACGAACCCTGTAATTTGTTGCACTCGTGTTCGCGTTCCACGAACCTTTCGTTGGAACTTTTCGTGCGTGAAATTGTAATACGTCTTGACGCGTGCATTTCGTTTCTAGTGCACGCGCTTCGGCATGTATTTTCTTCTCTTCTATTTTTTCCCTTCCTCGTTCAACCGACGGAACCTCGTCCCGGAGTGTCTCGTAACGGTAGTTAAATTGTGTATCAACCGGTCTCACGTACACGCTTTCATCGCCTTGCGATTTGCGCTAATATTATTTTCCAGTAATGCATCGCGTTGCTGTTTTTTCTACAATATCTGTAATTTTCAGTTGTGACTTTGATTAGATACCGAGGAAGGTTACGTTACGTTTGTGTATTGTTAAAATTAGGGGATCGCACATTACACGTTCCATATTCCATCGAACTGGGACAGTATTTTAAGCTAAAAATTGGCGTCGATTAAAAGAAGTGCAGCGTCTGGCGAACTAAATTATGCAAGAAAAATATACCGACACTCTTCGACGAAATTCGTCAGCACGGCAGAAAAGCTGCCGTTTCGACTATCATTCCGCGCGTATTTTTCAAACATTCTTTTACGATCCATTCGATCTCTGGCACGTTGAAAGAAGCACAATTTGTGGCTACAGTTACGATGACTGAAATCATACATCTTTGTATACTTTCCTGTTCCTCCGTACCACTTTCCATAAATTACTTGTTTAAATAAAATCTACAAAAGCATAAAACTCTACAAAGACTATCGATTTCACACCTTAAGAAGCAGAAGAATTTTAATGTAACGCTTCAACGTTATAGTCGAATAATTTTTTTTTACACAGGACGATGATATCACTTTCTATTTTATCGACTATTTTATTGAGTTCCGCCGGTTGTATCAATGTTTATTCACGTAAACTATGATAAAATCGTGTATTATGCAAGGCAAAATATGACGCAATGCAATGCACCGATTCATAAAGCGAAATGCAACGGACGGAACGGTAATCAAGATGTCTTTTCAAACGCGTAGTGCGAGCACATGAGGCGACATCTGTTAGCGATATACAAACATTTAGAGTAAAGAGGTTGCTGGCAACCACGTGGCGCCCTCCTATCGTTTCTGTCCCATTTTTAATTTTTTATTCTATTGGTAAATTTTCTTTACCGTTATCTCCGGATGAAAGGTGATTTCAGAAATACTTAATCCATTAGCGGTAACGGTATATATAATTATATATTATTTTTCATTCCTTTCTGAAACTTTACAACGTGAACAACTATGTAGAAAATTTTATCCAGTGAAACAATTTATTGTATAAACTTTGGAGTTTTGTCGTTTATAAACACATTTTTTACAAGTAATGTGGTGATCCGTTTATTAGAAACTATTTAGAAACGATCGAGGTATGGCCATCGGTGTCATGGTTCGCCAAATGAAGTCAACTTTTATAAAAACGTTAGACCGTGTCGTATCATACTATTTTACAGGCATTGAGCAGAAAGTGGCGAGAAATGATGGTGGCTACTCGGATAAAGGACATCCGAGATCCACTTAAAAATAGTGCGAGATTATTGAAGCATTTCGCTTCACCTGCCACGGCGAGGAACATCTGCGGCGCAATCTCGATCTTTGCGTCATTATTCTTTGTGACCGCGCATCATCGATTCACTGTTTCCTCAACCATGGAAATTAATCAACCTTAGACCATGATCAGGATTGATAATGGGAAAACGTGATGTCTGCCGTGGCCGAGAGCCCGTCCGGCGTTCCAAGATCTATCAATCGAGAAACTGAGATTCTATCGTATCCTCCGTCTTTCCGTATTCTTTTCTTCCTTCTCCTTCCTCTTATTTCCTTTCATCGCTCGCGATTCAATTCTACGTCCGATGGAGCGATTTGCCTGCAAACCGATTCGAAGCGAACTTTATCGTTCAGCGCACGTGAGAATAGCGATGTCTGGAACGTTACCAATCGACGTTGCGTCAGTCAGCGGTGGAAAACGATTCCTTGCATTCTCTGTTTCACGGTCGGCGACAACGCGATATAATCAATTATCGATTAGAAAATTGGAGTTTTCAGTAAGCGATTTGAGATTACAGGCTTCCTTTCCGTAACCGTTCCGCTTGGACGTAACTGTACATCGCGTGGAACGAATCGATAATATGCGTATCGATCATTTATTGCCGTGGAAAATGGGGTTAATCTTTCGTCTCCCATCTCATTGTGTTATTTTCCTCTTACTCCATTTTTAGGTAATAATAATTACCATTTTTCTACCGAGGAAAACCTAAACTAAGTGACTAAATAATAATTCTAAAACTTTGGTTAAAAGGATCCGCCTACTCATCCGCCTATCGAGTAAACTTGTATATTTTGCCTTGGCATGACACGGCTTCATTAAACTTTCAATCAGAAATATTCTTACAATCGATACACCAAAATCGTGTTGCCTCTAACACGAAGAATGGTGACACGTCTAAACACCGAATACTAACTTTTAAGCGTGTTAGTATATATACAATAACGAATACAGTAACTTTTGCTAACACTGGAGAAGTCTGGTAACTTTGAATTGACCTTAAAAACGACCTTCGAAAATAAATAATATGCACATAACTTAAACAAACTCGTTTAAATAAAATAGGTACGCTTTACAAGCAACAATCGACCGAACTCACGTTACCCAAAAATAATTCCGGCCAGTATGATCACCAGACGGCAAACACGACCGCAAAGAGTTAAACCTAGAATTCTTTCAGCGCAAAAGAATTTGCGATTTACGGAACCGTACCATCGACCGCGTGCAATCAGGTTGATAATCCTTGGCGGCCGACAGGTCGACCGATAAATCGATGCCCGCTGGAAGACGTAGCGTGGCAGGATGTCATATCGTGGCTGGTTCTTTGTTTCCTCGTGATTTCGTAGGTAAAGTGCATCCACGGGGGAAAAGGATCACGATTTGATAGGCACCGATATAATATTCATAAGCAGTCAACGTGTCCATCCGGCGCAGGCGTCGTTGTCGTCGTCGTCGTTATCCTCTAGGTTCTCCGTTCGTTTGCGAGGTATACAACTGTTAGTCCGTTCATCCGGCACCGACTTGGTTCTTCGCTATGTCTGCGACGGCACTGGCCGCGAGTCTGTTGCTTTTCACCTCGTTCATCGGATCTTCTCTCTGTCAAACACCGATGGCCATGCGTAAGTCTTCTTTACGGTACCTTTTTCGAAGCCGATTTTCGAAACATTTGTCGATCGAGGACGGTTTACGCGTTTTCGTTACGCGGCATTGTTCAGTGTTTGACGAGGAATGATGATGGTGTCTATAATATGTTCCTCAAGGGAAATCTGACTATAGTTACGAACAAACTAGATCGTTGTTGGAATATTAAAAATAAATATTTGTTGCCTCAAAGAGGACCTAGAATCAAAGTCGAAGCACAAAATATTTTTCAACGAAGAGCATTATTTCACACTTATTCCATATAAGCCGATCAAGAAAAACTTCTCTTGATTTAATTCTACAAGTTCCTTTCGTCTATGTGCAACCTTTGAAACATTGATTGTATCGCATAAAAGTTGCATTCGTTCCCGATACACCGATACGAAAATCAACTTCTATTTCTGAATTATTTATATGCTAAATGTCTAACTACAACTTTCCGCATCTCCTGCCCCGACATTTGTACCCTTGACACGATAGAGGAAACTGCATCGGCGATGATCGAGGATGATAACAGGGTAATAGTTACAACACATGTACGAGATATCGTGGATCATTGTCTCGGACATGCCGTACCATTAAATAGCGATACTCTACCATTTTCATTTACAGAAACGGTCAAATATTCTGTACGTTTCGCTCCGCTTTTTATTTCATTATTTCAATAGGAAATGCATCTTAACTAATTGGCGTGTATTTTCTCACAATCATCGGTGACGTGTAACGCGCAGACAATTGGCGCGCCATTAGATACGATCTGTCTGAATAAACGGGCATCTAACGATGCAATAATGAATGTTAGTCGCAAACGTAACGAGGTCGCGTGCATCGTGTAATTACGCATTTCAATCAAATATTACGGCAAAATTCTCATCTAGATAGAATGTTTAGATTAACGAATGAAAGATAAAGAGCCACCGATCCATTATTTGTTTAATAAAAACAGCAGTTTATCCGCGTAACTGTTTACTGCTACTCAGATCCGTCCTCTAAATTGGTTCATCGTTATTCTATGTAGTGATAGTGATCGAGGAACCGGACACGCCGTTTTTAAGCATTCTGAACGACGCTGCACCTCAGACGGAGAAGAAGTTCGGCGACGACATCATCACCGTTCACATTTCCACCGTCACTGTGGACAGAGCAAACGTGCTTGCCAGTTTTGAAAAAGGTTATGGAAGCAACGGTCTTGTGAAGTCTTCGATGTCTTCACGGCCGCAGTTTCTATCAATAGTAGGGTACTCGACGAGTCGTGTTTACGTTTGAACGTGATTCAAAAGTCTCGGCGGCACTGGCAACTTCATTCGAGGCGTCCGTGGCCTTTTCCAAGTATCAATGACTGTAAAAAAATACAGTAATCGTTGAACACGATATCGAATCTGGTTAACTGAACACGACTCGGACCCTTGTGCTCCGACTATTGTTAGCAACATTCTATTATTAATCTTCCCCGCTTCAGCCGCGCTTCATTCTTATTCTGGTTTCGTTAAAATCAACTTGCAGTATGTGCTGCCTTATTTAAGGGAATCAGTATCATACTCGATCTGACTTGGACCGGTTGGGAGAAGCTTCGAAACGTAGCCGACGAGAACGGAATAATATACAAACGCGGGGATTGCCAGATAAATTCGTACGTGCAGGCGATCGATGATCTTTTGATGTTGAAGAACGCAACGGACGTGGGCCTGATCTTCGAAGATGAAAGGGGTACCTTGACTTCGTTCTTCTTGCGATCTTCGCTGACCTTTTGGCAGCTGTTTGCTAAACGAGCTCTTTTTATTGCAGAGCTGAATCAGAGCTTGTACTATCTGATCGGGAACTCGATTATACGGTTGGTCGTCATCGACGAGTTCACGGACAAAACAGTGTCCAAGATACGGAGCATGAGACCGTCGCCATCTTATTACGCGATTTACGCCAGCACGCCGAGGATGGAGGAACTATTCAGAACGGTGACTTATATGCGAGCAGAGCAGAGTGGATGCTTCTTCAGCTGCCTTCGGAAGATTTCTTACGTGGCGTAACTTTGCAGGCCGTTCAGGGGGGCCTGGTGAAAAGAAATGGAATCTGGAACTTGGTGTTCACCGACAATAACTACAAGGACTTCAAGTACCTCAACGGGGACTCGCAATTAAACGTTTCGGTGACCGTTCTGTCGCTACGTACGGAGGTCTGTTGTCGGCTGATCGGTGAACCGTCCTGCAATTGTCCTCCCGATGTTCAAGTATTCAAACATTCCTTTAGTCTTTACGTATTGTTCTTGTTCGGAAGTGATCTCTTTCTCTTTATCTCTTTTATTCAGATATTTCCACAGTACTTCAGACGATTGCTGGGCTTGCTGGTGAACCTGATGAGCGAGCTCCAGAAGTCTGGGATCAGCGTGGAGCCAAAGCCTACTCGATGCAATTCGCCGAACGCTACTCAAACGGTCTCAAACGCCACATCCGAGGCGTTCAACAAGAACTTGATAGCCGTGAGTCGCGCCGAGAATTTCGCGCGTTTCTATGAGCGATTAAAACGAATAAATTTCGAACGAAGCGTTATTAAATGTCGATATTCCACGGCGTTAGAAATTAGGAGGCAACGATACCTTCGACTACTTGTCGGACAAAGGACTGATCACGTACAAAGCGGAGATCGAAATGGAGATCCTGCAAAATGGAGTTTTGGAGCCGCTCGCCACTTGGACTAGAAGAACGAAAATTAAGGAGGCCGACGGGAAGAAGATAGAACCTGCCAAGAGATTCTTTCGAATCGGAACTGCTCCTGTAACTTTTACAGTCTTTTATGTTTAACAGACATTGGGGTCGTCGAACGAGTTTAAGAATTTGTTATAAATTGTATCAGTCAGTTCCCTGGACGATGCCCAAAGTGGATCCAGCGACCGGCCACGTTATGAAGGATGAAAACGGAAAGGAGATGTGGGACGGTTACTGCATAGACTTCATAAAGAAACTTTCTGAAGAGATGCAATTTGATTACGACATCATCGTACCGGAAGATCGAGAATTTGGAAAGAAGATGGCCAACGGACAGTGGAACGGGTTGATTGGCGACCTTTCAAAGGGAGTGAGTTGAGAAAAACACAGGACACAATGTTCTTTCATTTTCGCTATATTAACCCTTAGAAGCCTGATTTTCAAAATTAAATTTTTAAAAAATGTCAATGTATTTATTATTTGAATAATTTTGACAGCTGACGTTTATTTTGTTCACTTTTGTTCAGAAGTGAAAAACAAAACAATTGCAACTGTACAACTCGATTTAAAAGTCCGGTATCAAATTTGAATCTTTTTACGTAAACTTACTTTTGTAACGCACTATAGTTTCCAAGCGCCTGCAACAGTGATACTAATCGCACTAGTGTGCACAAAGGAGGACATTCGCCAAATTGCTCAACTCGTAATTAAAAAAGACGACGTTTGTTATGAACTTACTCTTAAAAAAAGAATTTTGTTCCACAGGAAACTGATATCGTGGTTGCCGCGCTGACAATGACATCGGAACGCGAGGAGGTGATCGATTTCGTTGCCCCTTACTTCGAGCAGTCTGGTATACTGATTGGTAAGAAATGTCTGTTTACACGGCTACTCGTATATAGGTTGTTCCAAACATAGGTAGTTGACACTGGTTGCATTAACTCGCAAGAGTAAGTGAAAGACTTTATTCAATTAGATTTTATTAACACTAAACCTACCGACGTTCAATTAAATGCGACAATTTTTTTTAATTAAATGGAAATATATTTCACGTGAAACTAAATTGAATAATGCATGAAACAATTGTATAGGATTTATATATAACATATAAGAACTGTATATAAAAACTTGGAAACGGCCATTTCACCGATCGTGGTAGGTTTTCTGTTAAACAATTATTTTTTCTTTTTCAAGTAATAAGAAAACCCGTTCGTAAACCGTCCTTGTTCAAATTCATGACGGTCCTCAAAGTCGAAGTCTGGCTGAGCATCGTGGGGGCGTTGACGCTGACAGGAATCATGATTTGGATATTGGACAAGTATTCCCCCTACAGCGCGAAGAACAACAAACGTCTGTATCCATATCCTTGTCGGTAAGAATTTCGCTATACTTTTGTAATCATCGTTTTCACTTTCAAATATTGATACGTGTAATTTTTAAACGGGATCTCTTTCCACAGAGATTTCACGTTGAAGGAGAGCTTTTGGTTCGCCCTGACCTCGTTCACGCCCCAAGGTGGAGGCGAAGCTCCCAAAGCTCTGTCCAGCAGAACTCTCGTAGCTGCGTATTGGCTATTCGTCGTTCTGATGCTCGCCACGTTCACTGCGAATTTAGCAGCTTTTCTTACAGTGGAAAGAATGCAGGTTCTTCGTCTATTTTCATACACATATATCGCACACAAAATTAATATTCTTAGAAAAAAGAAGAATCCTTCTATATAAGAAGCCTCTTCATTTTCTTAATTGCGTAGATCGTCGTTGCATTTTAATATTATTATTCACTGGAAAGGAACACTTGTATGCATATTTTTGTTTCATGTGTTACCTCGATACGTGGTTGCACATTTTTTTCTTATGTAATCGATAAGCATGCTCGTCAATAATTTCAATGCTCCGCTGACCTTTTTTACGGCTCGTATCGCCACAAACTATACGGTCCACGAAAACGTTATGCGATTAACCGCATCCCCTCGATGTAGACACCCGTGCAATCGTTGGAGCAACTAGCGAGGCAATCGCGGATAAATTACACCGTTTTGGCCAATCACAGCGTTCACCGGTACTTCATGAACATGAAAAACGCGGAGGACAAGTTGTATACGTGAGTCATTAATTTAGTGGAACGTGCAGCATTCGTTCGACTATTTTAGTCGCTTTATTAATTTATTTATTCGCTAATTTTACTACATTTGTACCTTTATTAAATGCTGGAGATATCTATGTTCGAAATCGAATAAAATTTCCTACAGTGTCTGGAAAGAGATCACGCTGAACAGCACGAGCGACCAGGTAGAATACCGTGTATGGGATTATCCTATCAAGGAACAATACGGTCACATACTGCAAGCCATCACGCAAGTCGGCCCGGTGAAGAGCGCAGAGGAAGGCTTTCGAAAGGTAGGAGGAGGTAATCGTCGTCGAAACGATTGCCGAGGAAAAATTACTGACACGTCGGTCGCCATTTTTTGTCTCTTGTTCAGGTGATAGAAAGCGAGAACTCAGAATTCGCTTTCATCCACGACTCGTCGGCGATAAAGTATGAAGTAACTAGGAACTGCAATCTGACCGAGGTCGGCGAGGTGTTTGCCGAACAACCTTACGCAATCGCTGTCCAACAAGGAAGCCACCTGCAGGAGGAGATCAGCAGAAGGTACCTGTGTCGAGCTTTCCGCGAGGATTCCTTGTTTTTCTTATTTCGGTCTATTCGTTGCAGGATCCTGGACCTGCAGAAGGACAGGTATTTCGAGACGCTGACGTCCAAGTATTGGAACCAGTCCCTGAAGGCGCAGTGCCTGGATTCCGACGACAACGAAGGAATTACGCTGGAAAGCCTGGGTAGGTTGAAGTCACTTTTGTTAACAGTTTTTTTTATTAATAAACAATAAATGTCACAAGAAGTTTAACGAAACGTTTAGGCGGAGTGTTCATAGCGACTCTGTTCGGGCTCGCTTTGGCGATGATCACTCTGGCCGGGGAAGTCCTCTATTATCGTAAACGCAGCGATTCGCAAAAGGACAAGCGAAAAGACAAGAAAAAGCCCAAGGGCATCGAAAACGAGAAGGTGATGCTGCAGAAGATGGCGTCGAAGCTGCAGATGAAACCAGCCCCTACTAACGCATTATTCGAGAAAACGACGACGAATCTACCTCGCGTATCTCATATTTCGGTCTACCCGCGTAACTTTACCTTCAAAGAGTGAAATCTTCGCGACAGAGAATAATGTCGCAGCGACAGAATTTCCGGTGGCAAAACGATTAACGATAGATATATTTATTCTGTACAAAAGATCACGTTCCATTGCTAATAAACGTTATTCCAGAGCAACGAGAATGCGAATCAAACTTTATGTAACGACCCTTTACAGCAGCCAGTGTCTTTCACTCTTTCACTTCGGTACCGACAGCTCGCAACACTGATTCGTCGCGCGCCACGCGAGTCCCGGAAATAATTGTAAAGCTACGGATTAATAAAAGTTATTGCGAAACGAATTGTCTACGAATCGACATATTGATTGCCGATGCCTTCGCCAACTATCGTGTCGTTTAATTTTTTTTCCAGAGGACAAACACAATATGCCACCAAACTAAATAAATATTAGACGACGGAGCCTCGTGGAAGATCGATCGTGCTTGCGGGTTATTGTCCCATACTTTTTAGTCTGATCGTGGTAACGGAATTGCATAAATGAAAGTGAGCAGTTAGCAATCGGTGGGCTGTGTCGTTCCGATTCGTAAAGTTCTGTCGCAGTGACGGACTCGATACGTCGCCTTTTAACTTTCCGTCCAGACAACTACGATGCAGCGTTTAAAAAAATATCCTCTTAAATTAGTGTCGAAGAACAAATATCGCACCGAACGCTTCCCTCTGTGTTCGAGTAACTTTCCTACGAGTGCCAACCCGTAGACGCCACTGTAAAAATCTCCGGTCGATTAAAATAAAATAGAAAACAAGGAGTCGAAAGTAAAATAACTTTCAAACACAGGGGAGTGCCCCTTGCTAGCAAGAAATGATTTTCTTTGTGTCCAGATTGGAATCGACGTCCGTGTCGCCACTGTGACCCTTTTTGCTCTTAACGAGGCAAAAATCGCAATTTTATCAGACGCCACAGGCGGCCGGACAACGTCCGGCACTGTTTTACGGTCGCTGATTCAAATCGTTCTGATCAACGCGCCTGGTGTTCACTGACTCCGCGCCGTTTGCGTCCGCGGCTATCGAAGGTGGGGTGTGTCCTTTTCGATCACGAAGTCAATATAAAGCCTTTCCGAGCGAAGGCGAGATCATTTCATGGGAAAGTGATGTGGCTCGTCGAACCGGAACCGGAAACGTACTAAGCTCACAATCGGTGGATTAGCAGCATGACTCCGTCAAAGGTCGATCGTCCTTACCGTTGCCAGCGATACCTGGTAACCCTTTTCATTTCTACTCGAAACACAATCTTCGCGATTTTTAAACGACGGTGCTGAAAGAAGATACCTCTGTATATAGTAGTATACCTAGTATTTACACCCTTGACATTTTCAGACCTGGCATTCACAATTCAGGATACAAAATTTAAAAATTTCGAACACTATCGTTTAGGGCGAATGTCCTTATTTCTACACAAACTACACTATTGGGATTTGAAACTACACTATTGGGATTTTTTTTGTGTACAGTCAGTCCCATAAATTAAGTGATAGATTCGTTGCTTCCAAATTAATGTTTCATTACAAATATGTACATGAATGAACTTTACACATGTATTTATTTATGATGACAAATTTATTTGTATACGTCACATCTCTTATTTAGTTTAGACAAACTTCTTCGATGAAAAAATTAAATTAAATTAAAAATTAAATTACATTGGTACCAGAAAAGAAATAATTCAGGTCTGAAAGGGTCAAGTTTTTGTTCGCAGGAGTGTTAGCTAATATTTCTAAAAATGTCAACCTAAATTATGTTTCTTCGATAAAAATATCTAATTCTTCTAGGTATGTTTCGTAGTGGTAATCTTGTGCGTCTCGGTGAACGCAAGATTTCATCAGGAATCCTTCAAATCTGACCACGACTATCCATGGACCGACCACGATATTTCCCTAGACTTTGCGTCCTCCGAGCACTCGCCGTCTTTTAGTCGATTTTCAGACTTGAGAAAGAGACACTTGGACTTCGACTCCATCGAGCCTTTCCGCGAACCCAAAGAGTGGTTCACAGCATCCGCCACTAAAAGGGAGCCCAGAGAGGACAAGAGCTTTAAGAAGGTGGTATCTCCGTTTTATACCATCACGGAGAAAGACTCTCAGAAGTACAGGGACGTCGTGCTGAAGTCTGGTCTCCCGTATTGCCAAAAGATAAAGGCGAAACGGCCGGACAAAGTGGTTTGCTACAAATGCAAGAACCCTAAAAACGGCGCCACCTACGAGCAATGCTCCTACATGTCGTCGCAACCGTTGTCCGACTCCAGCAACGCCGAGGACGTGTTCTCGACGCCATCGAGCTTCAGGAGCAAACGATCCCATCCATACAAAGGCTCCGATGGTTACAGGAAACGCGAAAGCCCGTATAGATTCAGCGACAGGCTGTTCACGGACGCGACGGACGAGGTTCCGGCGCAGTACAGAAACAAGGACGAGAAGTGCGAAAAGGTCGTTAAGAACTCCATGGTCTGCATGGTGTGCAAGAACACGAAGAGCAACGGGAAGTACGAGCAGTGCTCCTACGTCGGACAACCTAACGAGAAGAAGTACGCGTACACCAAATCCAGCGCCTTGAAGAACCCTGAAAGACGAGGAACGAAGGAGGAAGATATCGAGAGGTCCGATCGTGAGGACGCGGAGGAATCATCCGAGCATTCCGACCGAGACTACTCCGCCACCAAGCCAGTCAGAGAACACTCGAGTCCTGAAAACGACCAACCCGATAGACGAACTCCCGAGGAATCCAAGGATTCGTCCGAAAACTGCAAGCAAGTGGAAAAGGACTCGAAGACCTGCACCGTCTGCAAGAACCCCAAGACGGGAGCCAATTACGAGAAGTGTTCGTACACTTACGAGCCCGACGATAAGGTCTACAAATACAGTAGGTCAAAGAGCATTGGGAATCCGCGCGGTTCGTCCGAAGAGGACGAAGACGACGACAAGGGTTCGAGGTACCAAGGTACATCCTCGGAGAAAGTGAGAAGCGAGCCTGACGACAAGGGGTACAAATACGACAGGTCCAAGAGCTTCGACGATTCGCGCAAGGAGGACGAAGAGGACACTAAGAGTCCAAGTTATCAGAGCAAGTCTTCGGAGAAACAGAGGAGCGAACCGGAAGAATACAGCAGTGACTACTCGATTCCTGAAAGCTTCTACGAGAAACGCCGCTCTCCCGAATCGAGTTCGTATTTCAAGGACCACGAGCCCAGCTCCAGCTATCGTCGAACCACTCCCGAGGACTTCAAGTCGACTTCGGAAGAGGACGAGGACGATTTCTCCGGATACGAAAAGTCCAAGTCAGAGTCGGCGAAGGTCGCCAAAAGCATCGAGCCTAGCAACTGCAAAGAGGTACAGAAGAACTCCATGACCTGTACGATCTGCAAGGACCCTAAGACGGGAAGCAACTCCGAGCAGTGCTCGTACAAATCTCAGCCAACCGACAAGAGCTTCGCCTACACCAGATCGAAGTCCTTCGGTAGCCCAACCAAGACAGACGACAAGTCCTCCGAAAAGTCCGAGAGCAAAGAATCCCACGAACCAGTGTACAAAGAGTCCTTTGGTAAATCGTCCAAGACTGACGACAAATCTTCCGAAGAATCAGAGAACAAGGAGTCCCTTGAACCAGTTTACAAACAACGAACCTACGGGTTCTCCTCCGAGAAGGAACCCTACAGCACCAACAGCAACCCTAAACGGGAGTATCGCGAGTTCGTTTCCCCTAGCGTGTCCGAATCCGAGACGAAGGAGGAGTCAACGACGAAAGCTGCCGCGAAGAAAATCGACGCCGACTTTTACGAGGCCTTCAAGAAGAAAGCTGAGATACAAAAGGTCTTACAAGAGTTCCAGAAGGAGGATCGTTCGAACTGCAAGAAACTGATGCGCAACAAAATGACCTGCTATCAGTGCACGGACGAGAAAGGCTTCCAGAAGGAGGAATGCGCGTTCATCGCCGCTGACGAAGCTGCCGAAGACAAGGCGGAGTCCACCGAGTCGAAAGATGTCCAGGAGCCTGCCAAGAAGATGTCTAGGTCGACCATCATCGAGAGACGCGTGGGTAACGTTCCCCTCGACTCGGATGCTTCGGCCAGCGAGAATATTCACGAGAAGAAGAAACCCGCGATACAGGAGGAGGAAGAGCTGAAGGAAGTCGAGCCTTACGAGTACGTCGCTGAGACCAAGCCCGTCTTCGACAAAATCCTCGGGATCACCCTTCCAGCGTTCATGCTGAGCACTTCCGAGGACGAAAAGGAATTCGACAGGGCTGTGGCGTCCGGTAGAAATTAAGAGAGCATACGTTCTTGGTAGCTTTGGTGCTTTATCGCTTTTAGGTTTCTTCGATTTCGTAGACTCGAAGCTTGTTAATTAGACCATTATTAAGACATAAATAAACGATTATCTTTTTGCTCCGTTGCGTAGGTATTCATTGATTTTGTTAAGGAAATACTTGTTAATTAAAGTGTTTGTATCGAATTCGTAAGGTTTCGTAGTCGACGCGTACACTTAACACATTGTTGGCCAGCAGTTTTACGTAGAATCGACTTGTCGCCGGCTATTATTACGTAATTGAATTCGAAATTAAAACAATTTAAATAAACTCCAATAAACTTTATTTATATTTTACCAGCGTAATGAATATCAAATATTTTACATAACACGATGAGCAAGGCTTTTGCGATTGTACTCTATATCGCTCTGGGTTTCATAAATTGAAATAGATAATGCAAGTGCAAACATAAGTTAACTCATGACCGGTCAACAATGTGTTACGAATCGTTACATAGCCTGACGGGCACTCCGTAAAGCAGCAAACGACGATACGCTGTTGTCGTTATTTAGTATTTAAGCTGTTCTCGATTGTTGTACGGTTTGTGATTAAACTGTTTCTTGTTTAAACGAGAGTGAAATTGATGTTTCGTTGGTTATTGGATTGCGCTAAGCGTTTCATGGTCGATCGAGTGCGATTTCGACGTCGCGCCGTTTAGAAATTTCGCTCGCGGCAGAGCTTTGACGACAGGCAATTACGCGTTTTGGTTTTTAACCAAGGAAAACGGAGTCGGCGAGGTTCTTATCGCTCTTTCGCGAGAAGAAAGCGACGATACGAGAACGATGCGAGTTAGCGTAAATTTCTAGAGTTAACCCGGCGTTGTTTTTCGTCTCGGTTAACCAACGCTGAATGAAGAAACGTCGCGATCGCGACCACCAGATCAGGAAACGCCGTTTTTACTCGGAGCTTGTTTGTTGGGCAAGAAATCACCTACCGCGTTAATCGGCGCCATTATTTTCTTCGAGCACATCGTC